CCCTTCTGAGTCATGCCCAGGCCGGGTCTTCACATTGCCCTCAGATTCCAACACCTGTGCTCACCCAAGCTTCGGAAGCAGGGCTCAGACTTCTCTTCCCAGGCTTGTCAGTCCAGCTTTTTCTCCTCTCACCTTCCCAGTCACCCTCTGCGCGTGGCATTCCAATCCCTGCTCACAGATGAAGAAACTGAGGCTGACACAGAGCTAATAGAAGTTGAAACTCCAGTTCCGATGAATCTTGTGCCAGAACTTCTGAAATACACTACAGGACTGCAGGGCCCTCCCTGGCCTACCTGGGTTCCGGCTCCTTCCCTTATCTCTTGGACCTGAGAGCCACACAATTAGTACTTCTTGAATGGGTTCCTGTTTTCATCGCACTGGCAACTGCTCCAAGGTGTGAATTAAGATCAAAAGATAAAGGAGCCTGCACACAGATTTTGTTTGAGCCGGTGGGATTTACTTTTATCCCCGACCCCTAGGCTAGAGATTGAATCTAGGGCCTCATACATGCCTGCCTCTTGCCCCTAGCCTCCCCCAACCCCACTTTTGCTCCTTATTTTGAGACGGGGTCTCACTAAGTTGCCCAGGCTTGACTTGAATTCACTCTGTAACCCAGACAGCTTCTTTGAACATTTGACTGTAGTGCTCCAGCCTCCCAAGTAGCTGAGATGACATGCCTGAGCCACCAGGCCCAACTTCACAGGGCTGTTTTGACAGAGAGGAAATGATACATTCAAACTAAAAGTTTTGCTTTATCTTGAGCAGTTATTAAGTTTAGTCACATTAGACCTACCTACAGTCCTGCAAAATAGCAGGTGGCCCGTCCCCTCTCAGCAGGGAAAATCCCTTCTAACTTTCTATAGTCCCTAGTCACCTGTGGCCTCACCCTCCTCCTATAGGACCTGATGAGCCTCAGAAACAAGTTTCCTCTTGACTCTTGAGCAAGCTCCTTGAGACAGGATTATGAATTGTATTTATCATGTGTTCCCCAGGAGCATGTTAACCAAAATGTAAACTGAGAGAAGGAAATCAGCTACTGGCCCTGGTAGGCTGGTATATAAGGGACCCTCCCCTGTGGACAGACCACAGGCCAGCCGAAGCTGTCCACCACCATGGCTGCACCTGTGGGTGCTCAGTGGCAACCTCCGTCCTCCTCTTGTAAATCTGACAAGATACTTGGGATCCTAAACACACAGAGGGGCTGCTATACAGGGAAGAGAGTCAGAACATGTTCAAAACTACCAGTAAATACAGCCATTCTCAAGAAAGGCCTTATTTTGAGAGAATTGCCCAACATTTTCTGACAGCAAAGTCTGAGAAGTTTAGCTCCAGAAGAAAATTACAGGCAAATACCCACCAATGTCCTTTGACCCAGATATGAGGCAGATATAATTCAGAAGATGAAATTCTATCCAAGTGAGAATGTTAATTATACAAGGTCAAGACACAGATGAGTATATTCCTAGAGACTTCTGTATGTATACAGAGACACCGATGTACAAAGGTGATGTTGTCCCACCTGAAACCAAGGCACCACCAAGGGAGCTTGGTCCTACCCCAAGTGGAGGAGGAGCCTGAGGGGAGGAAGTTCCCATTTGCCTCAAGCCTGTTTTGTGCCAGGCCCTGTGGTGTTCCACCAACACCATCCCATTAGGGCACAACAGTCAGCGTAGGCAAAGCTATGAGTTTTAAATGCAACGGAGGAAACTGGCCCTCTGGGTCTCTGTTGCTGCCTCCTATCTCTCTGGTAAATTAACCTAACATCTTTCAGGCAATGAGAAATCGTTATGATTTCTCTCTTTAAATTTTTAAAATTTTTACATTTTTTATTTTTGGCTGATACAATGCAAAGAGGGAAGAGGGAGCCCATCTCTCTTGCCATCTCCCACATGTCATGGGAGGTTCAGGGATATGGTTATTCACAATGATGAGGTGGAATCTCCATCAGCTGACCTCTGAGCCAAGTCTACTCAGATCCTAAAATGGGATGTCATTTCACCAGACTGAGCGGGTAAGAAATGCAAGTCACCTTATGAGTAATGAGGGTTGTAAACCACAGTGATGGTTGTAAATCTGAAGACTGATGTGACACTTTCCCCTACTCCAGCCCAGGCAAGGGCTGAGTTCTCATATTTTACCAGGAGGAACTGTTGTCCCTGGGCCCACTTAGGAACAGCATGCAGAGCTCGGTGATGAACGCCACCAACCCTCAGTACTAAAGGCACAGCCAAAGGAAACAGGAAAACCAGCCTTGACCATACATTTTCTCTCCTATTTCATTGACTTGAGAGTAAGGAGCAAGTATGTGTTCCTACAATATCCTTCAAAGACAGCAAATACCTTGTGGTTGCTGGGAAACCATTCCAGTAGCAGTGTGTTGTAACTGCCCATCATGGAACAGCTTCTGTGCAAAACTTGGGCTGTACATTCCTGTCAACTTCATAGCCAGATTCAGCCACTTGCTGGGACCTCCACCTGCAGAAGTCACCGCAGATCATGCCAAAACCTTTCAAGCTGCTAGCCTACCGATGAATTTTCAGAGAAGTCCTGACTGTCTAACTCTGACTCACACAGCTACTAATAAAAAGACTTGCTGCACGTGCAAAAGGTTTGCCAAACTCTTGGGCAATTCAAAAACCATTGTAGCTAGCCCCACCTGGGAGATTTTTGTCATCAGATTGGCCTCATTTGGGGATTCCTTCAAGTCTCCTACATCCTCTCTCTCTCAATCTCTCTCTCTCTCTCTCTCTCTCTCTCTCTCTCTCTCTCTCTCCTCTCTCTCCTCTCTCTCCTCTCTCCTCTGTGGCTTATATAAAACCTATCCGTGTGTGTGTATATATAAGCCAGAGACCAATATCAGGTGCCTTCCTCTATTGTTCTTTGCCTATTTATTTATTTATTTATTTATTTATCTATTTATTATTTTTGAGACAGGGTCTCTCACTGAGCCTACAGCTCACCAATTTGGCTAGACTGGTTGGCTAGCAGGTCCTAGAAATCCTCTAATATCTACCTCCTCAGCCCTAGAACTACAGGTGCACCCCACCATGCCTGGCTTTTTACGTGGGTGCTCCAGATTTGAACTTAAGTCGTCATGCTTGCACAGCAATCACTTTACCAACTGAGCCTCCCATCTCCCCAGCCCCTCTCTTTTCACATTCATTTCATTAGGACTCGACCCCCAAATCTGAGAGTCCCAACTCTACATTAATTTTCTCTTTTACTCCTACTAACTTGGAGGGTGAGCAGCAAGTACGTGTTCGAATATGCCCTCCCAAAATATTTTCATCCATTTGCACTAGAAATAAATGGTTTGCTTTTTTGGCCCCTGATGAGAGCATGTGGCAGAGGTGAGGATGAAGGTGAGCTGTTTTATTTGAGAACAAGTCCAGTGCCTCAAGCATCACCCCTTGGTGCAGCGTTGCCAGCCTACTCTTCTTCAAATGTCACATTATTGATTCTCATTTATCCTCACAGCTTGGTTACTTGTAGTAATTTGATGTCAACATGTGCTCATATTGTATTAAGTTCTGTCAGTGCCAGGAGTGAGAGGGTCAGGGCTCTGCTGTAGGGAACACATCTCTTGGTACCAAAACACGATCCCTTTAGCAAAGGAAGGAAAGATTTCCTCCAGTGCTGGATACTCCAAGAGCAGGCAGTCTGCGTGTGCTGTCAACAGCATATGGCAGAGGAGGAAGCTGCCATGCTCTAATGATGCTCCCTCCTATTCCCCCACTCTTTCTGGTTCTCTTTGCCTATGGGTCATTTGTAGTGAAATTCTAGGCACAGAAAGCAGAGGGTGGCACCTGGCAGGCCCACAGCACTGAAGTCCCTCTTGATGGGGGCGCTGAGACTGATACTCAGGGAACGAAGACTGGCACTAGACTTCTAAAGTCCCACTTCTATGTTGGCATCACAGATGCCCCAACAGAAAGGCCTCCTGGAAGAAAGGTTTTATTGATCATTCCCAGGGGAATGCTTAACTGGGAGCATCATTAACCTTTAACATGAGCATTTAGCTTACACATGGAAGCAAGCCTGGTTGTCACAGTGACTTCTGACATTTAGCAGATGAAGCAGGGATACTGAACGTCTGCACTGTGCAGATGAGATTTGCCCTGATGTGTCAAGAGCCCCATTGGAAAATGGCATCATGCAATACACTGGTCTCATAGATTTCTTGAGGTTAATGATTTGTTCAAAGTCACAAGACTGCTTTCTTCCCTTTTTTTACAACTGAGAAGCCCGCCATGGGAAGTTTACCCAAAATATAGGAGAACATATCAAGAGATCATCTGGACTTTTATATCTGATTCCTACTATGTTGGAAAAGTCTACAGAAACTTTCAAAAGCATAATATAGTTCACAGAAGAACAAAGAAAACATAGTAATCTACAAGTAACACTTCCCTATGATATGGCCTCATTTTTCTGGTCTCATCTGAATTTTGTGGCTGATGCTCTATTCTTTTCAGCAAAAAAGGTTACATCCAGTTGGAAGGCCAGTGACTCTAAAGCCTTTGTTTCTTTATTTTCACGTTGGTCTTGGAGTCATCCTAGTCTCACTGTTTTGAGTCAGAATCATAGCTCTGTCCTGACTGTAAGGCTCTGCGTACCCCAGAAAAGGACTGGGTCTTTCCTCCTCATTTACTTGTCTGACACTGCCATACAGTATTTTGTGAAACAATATTCATCCCCTCAGAGTTGATTTCTTAGGACTGGCTAAGTTTGAGAGCAGCAGCTGTAAGGTCAGAGATACCAGACAGAGACAGAAAAGAGAAGTATAGGTTGTTTGCTTCTCAGATATCTAGAGGTCTTATGCAAACCCTCAGCAAACCTATGCCTTCTTAAGAGCAGAGGACCTCTTCGGGATCTTGAAATGCTTACAAGTTCTTATTAGGAGAAGGTAAATGGTCAGGCCTCTGGACTCCAGTATTGATATCTGTGGGATTTGGCCACAGCCCTGCTGCATGCCTCCCGAAGAACAGCAGTGGCCATACCTGAGTTTCTCTGCAGCTTGAAGGCACTGTGCTCCACAAGTAAGCAGCAGTCATGCTCAGCACTCGTTTAACAGTGAAGTTGTTGAAGTTGATTTTCTCATCAGTTGAATCTCCCTAATGATGAGAAACTTCCCTGGGGCTCCAGCCCTGCCCTGCCCTGCCCTACCCTCCCTGCTGATGTAGGCAACTGGGGCCCCTTTCCTGGCCCTGCACAGAGTTCTCCCTGGAGGAGAATGGGGGTGTGGAGCCTCATCCTTTCCTCTCACTGGCCCTCAGGGTACAGGAGTGTGTGGTGGGTTACAGGAACATGTGAGAACCTCATTCCTAGCTAAAAGTTAAAAGTAAGGAGTTAAGAGCCACCAAGCATTAGGATGATTGTCTTGAATGGACCCTGTTCTTCAACCTTTCTCATGGATCTGGGCTGCTTCAGGTGACTGCCCAGGAACAGCCCTGGTTCCAGCTGGCTATAAAACCCTAGGTCACTCCAATATCACATCATGTGCCTGGTGCCCGAGAGACTGTGGCTTCTTATCTGTGGTGTCCCTTACCATTTTCTCTTGAAAGCTTCTCTTTTTTTTCCCACCTGCCTAAAGATGTCAGGAAAAGGAGATATGGCAGAATGTGCCATTAACGTCAGCCCTTGCCAACTACTCAACAAGAGGTACATGCACATCTTCTGCAAGTCAATGCCAGCTAGGCCAGCCTCCCCCAGACCATGCTCTCCTCCAGCTGCCTGTCCCCTGTGAACCTCTGGGAATACTGCCCAACATGAATTAGCATTCAGGTCGCCAGGCTGACACATGACTTAACAGAAGAAACTCATCAGGCTTAACATGGCCTTTCTCTGACTCTGCAGGGAGGGAAAGTTTCATTCGGTAGGAAATGCTACCACTGGGCAAGAAAGGAGGCGGGGGCCAACTGCACTGCCCTGCCCTTCTCCACTGTTTGGAGTGAGAGAAAAATGTCCCCTTCAGCAAACTTAAATTACAGTGCCAGGGGTTCAAGATCCTGGGAAGAAGTTACTGCTGGGATCTTCACGGACATTTCTGCATTTGTGCAGTGCAGCTAGCCTAGTAGGAGGTGAACTGGCATTGGCCGAGGATGGAGCCCAGGGCAATGAATCAAGTGCCTTTTCTCCAGGATTTTCACTGACCTCCCATGACAGATGGGGGCAGAAGCACCCAGGAGAGCACTATTTTGGTTTCCAGCTGGGAACGTGCACTGAGCTTTCCTTAATACCCACAGCACCCAAAAGGTTTTGCTGTAATACACTTTAATGCATGAAACACCCATAAATTATCCTTCAAACTGTTACAACTTCCAGCCTGGAACAACTTGGAAAAACCAGCCTAGCAAGCAGGCCCTTTAAAAAAAAAAAAAAAAAAAAAAAAAAAAATCTCTCAAGTAAACGTGCAGAGAAAGGTCAAGCAGAAAACACCTTCCAGAAGAATCTCAGAAAGTTTTTTGAGCGCAAGAGCTTTATAATCAAACGGAGCTAACTCCATGTTTATGTTGGCTCAAAGTTGCAACTCCCTGACCCCAGAATCCTCCCTCTCCCTCACCTACAACCTCTCTGCCTGAACCCAAGGGCTCCTGCTGCGCCCCCCCGCCCCCCTAATCCTCTGTGCCAGCTTTCACCTCACCTGGTAGAAGACAGCTGAAGGTACACGAGTGACCCAAGCAGTAGGGACACGCCTTGGTTCAGCAGGCTCCATGAAGGGCCCCAGCGCACGGAAACTCCGTAGTTGGAGCGCCGGCTTCCCGTGTCAATCCCGGGCACCCACAATCTGGACTCTGAGTTCTGTGACACACAGAGGTCCGGAGACCCGTGTTCAATTCCTCGCACTGAGTCTAGTGCGCCCTGGCTAGCTCACGATCTTACCTGGGGGCGGGGTAGCAATTTGGGGACTCTGCGCACAACCCAGACCGCGCGCAGTGCACTCACCCTAATCCGCACGGGCCACCACCCCTCCACCCTGGCACGCACGCAGCCCGCGCATCCCTCTCTCCTTGCTCCCTTGTGCGTTTCCCCTTCTAAACCAAGAGCTAGTCTTCCCTGGAACAGCCGTGCAGCTTCTGCAGGGGCCAGGGTTATCTATTGTACTTCTGGCCATCCTAGGACCTGGAAGTCCACGACCAGAGAAAGCCTCGTCCCCTTGGTCTCCCCTGCCCTCTAAGGGTCTCGCGCTCCTATATCCACTCCGGACACTCCTTTCAGAGCTGCGTTTCAACCCATGGGAGCGCTCACCAGACCGAAATCCATGCAAATGGTCTCCGGGAGCCCAAGCACCCGAGCCCGCCCGCACGGCGCAGCGCCCTTGTCGGGACTCGGCTCAGAGCAGCCTGACTCACCGTTGCGCTCCCCTCCGGCTCCAGGCGCTCTCTGCTGTGCTGGAGCTTGGAGCAGCTTTAACAGGCTTCTTGAATGTTTTTAGCTCCTCCTCCCTCCTGAGTCACACCCTTTCCAAATCCTGCCCCCCACCCCTCCCTCAGCGCCCCACCCCCATCCCCAGTCGCGCACCTGCTGTGCCTGGACCGAGATGCAGCGCCTTAGGGGTCCTGGGGATGTGAGATCCATAGCATCCGGGAGGGCTCACTGGACCTGCCAGGGAAGGACTCAAACCTCCTGAGGTCATATGAAAATCCGTTGGGTCTTTGGGGCAGAATGCTCAAAGCTGGGACAGAAATTTTCTGGGGCACTAGGCAGGGGTGCTGTTCCCAGGTGCCAAGGGGTGGACAGGCTGAGTAGGGCAGAGTTGCTTGGAGCTTTCCTAGCCTCTCTGCCCTGGCTCACAGCCTTGACAGACTCCTGGGTTGGCTTATGACCCCTTGGTCGCCCTGGACATCAGCTGTTCCTCGAAGGTCTGAGGGAGATAAAAGAACAACCAGAAAGCTCCTGGAGTGGCAGGGGCTTCTCTGACACCAGGGAGGAGGATGGTAACAGGTCTCAGGGCCAGGTAGCTAGAATGACCAGAAAAGGTGATGGGTCAAAGAGCAGAGGACTTCGGGTGTTAAGACACCCCACTTACTTACAGCCAACCTTAAGACTCTGAATTGCAGGAGCTTCTTAGGAATTGTGAAATCTCTGATATTGGAGGTGGATTTGTGTCTGTATGTGATGTTTACATTTTTCTTGGTCTGGGGCCCACAGTTTTCAAAAGCCAGTGAGTACACAGTAGGAGACCAAAACTTCTGCTCCATCCCAAGCCCTGCTCCAACTCCATTTTATTTCTGTTATGGACTTACCCTCAGCCCTCCAAAATTTCTTGGATTTAATAGATTCAGAGGCTGGCAAGGGGCTCGCCTGACTTGGGCCTTCTTCTTTCCCCTGGGATGTTTCCACCTCAAGTAGGATGTTTCCTACTTGTTTTTCAACAAGTGTGCATGAACACTTGTAATAAGGTTCTAGGGTCTTTGAAAATGTGCACTCCACACACCAATATCCTGGTTGAGCTGTCAAATGACTTCACTTCTTCCTTTAGAAAGGCACGTGGACCCCGTGGCCTATATGGATGCCACAGGAAGAGTGGCAGAGGGTGAGTGAGATACTGAGTCTCCACACTGCTGGGGACACCTTGCCAGTGCAGCTCAGCCAAAGGACGTGTTCCATGCTGCTCTTCTATCACCAGCGGAGCATACTTGGGAAGGTGAGAACCTGCCAAGTTCCCTGGACACAGATTTGTCCAAGCTTTCAGCTTCTTTCTGTTGTCACCTTTGTCCGCACACCTACATCCATTCCATTTCTGTGTTCTCTAAGGAGGATGAAGGAAGAAGAGAGACCTGGTTTTGAAATGAGTTTTCACTTTCAAAACCCACTTCTGTGATATTCAGACACACTTTTGGAGGTGAAAGTGAAGGGCCTGGGAATATCTAGATGGCAGAAAGCAAGAGTGCCATCACAACTCCAGTCACAGTGGTCTCTCAGAAATCTATCACTGTTAATTGCACAATTAACAACTAGACAACAGGACAAATTCATTCACCCACCATGCTACATATAAATTTGTTTCAAAATAGCTGTCTGTAAATTTAGGGGTGAAACAGAAAAGTTCAGAATAGTAGAATTTGGTTGTTAAATGCAGAACTTTTGTAGGTGTCCTTGTGGCGTCATCCTGAAGGACAAAAGGATTTGAGTTACTTGTGGTTCTCTTTCATGTGGTATGTAAGAGGGAAATTTAAAAATGAAGAAAGCAGAAGCGAGGCCCAGATGTTCCACCCCCAAATTGCTGATCATCTTCTTATGGCACATGTTGATTTAATAAGAGCTCTTTTCCAACTCTAACTAGATCTGTTACTGTCCCTGAATTTGCAGGATCTTGAGCAAATAAGAATACGTAAACAATAAACATACAAAAGCCCCAGTGACTATTTCCTGAGAGCTTGCTCTGTGCCCGGTACTGGGAGATGGTTGTGACACCTGCTGCCAGAGTTGTTCCCACAATGACTTGATTAACAGGCCCTGGCCACATTATCAGTCTCACCAGATCCTAATTTAGGAACCTGATACGTGTGCTGAATCCAACAAAGGTGAGAGCCATTTGTGGGTGTCTAATACCCCATTCACGCTGGATTTGTTTCCAGCAGTTCCGTAGCAGTTCTATAACAGGCCAGCCCTGGTTCCACAACTATAGTCAGGCGCCTTCTCATTTTGTCTTTCCACTGTCATGAAGAACTCCAACAGAAATGTCCTTCTCCTGGGTCACCCAGAGAAGGGCCTTATGACCTGGCCCGGCTACATTAATAGGAATGAAAAACAGCTGAGAGGGCAGTGGCCCGAAGGAACGGTGCCGGCAAGCAGAGAATAAGAATGTTTTCCTGTACTAGATTTTCTCGAAAGAGCTTTTTATCCAGGGTATCAAAATAACCAGCAGCTGATGCATTTGCTGACTTGGAGGACAGATTGTGGCGTGTACAAGTAATTGTTGTTATTTCTGAGGCTGCAGAAGCCTGCAGCCATTGAGAGCTTCATCAACAGCAACACAGCCCGGCATGGACCTCCTGCCTCTCTTGCCTCCACGCTCGTTCTTCCAGCTGCTCTGGCCTAATTTCTAGATTCTGACCACATCTTCCACTCTGACCTCTCATGAACGATCCCCCAGACACCAGTGTCAATAATGTGCATGGTGTGCTCACTAGTTTCTTGTCTTAGCTCCCTGTAGGGACACCAGCAGGAATGACTTTCATCTCAGCTCTGGCCTCAGCCCCCTTTCCGTAGTCTGTTTTTGTCCGTTTCTTTGTTTGGGGTTTTTGTTGTTGTTGTGGTTGTTGCTGCTGCTGCTTTGGAGACTGGGTCTCATGTCACTGAGGCTAGCCTTCAGCTCACTATATAGTTGAGGATGACCTTGAACTTCTGATCCTCCTGCCTCTACCTCCACAGTGTTGGGCTTGCAGACATGTTCCACCACACTCAATTTATACAACACTGGGGCTCAAACCCAAAGCTTCATGCCTGCTAGGCAACCACTCTACACCCCTAGTCTCTTATCTCTTGCAGGTTTCAATATTGGAACAGGTTAGGCAGTGCTCCTGGGTTGGGGACAGAACAGTTCAACTCTTTTCCTGCAGGGGCACTGCAGCCCAGAAAAGCCACCAACTTGGGAACAGGTGAGTTGTCCTAAACCTAAGTTCCACATGCTTTTACAAAGACTTCTGGGGCCTTGTGTATTTCTCATGCCTTTACATCTTCCTCTTTGCTACATGTTTTTTTTTTTTTCCTCTAGCTCTGGCCTTGGGGATTTTCTTATCCAGTTCATTTCACAAGCAACAGAAGCATCTCTAATCTCTAAACATTTCTAATGCTTCAAAAACTTGTGTCCTGGCTCCTTTTTTTAAAATCTTCCCCAACAAACTTCAGTTTCATCACAAGACAAGTGCATTCCACATTCTGAGAGCAGAATTGAGGCACTATGGGTAACTGAGGTCCCCTCAAGGTCCCCTCTTGCACCCAAGAGGCTCTCTGGGGGGATTCCAGGAACTCTTACAGGTGTGTCCCAAGCTGCTATTTACTGGACTGGAAAACAGCCCTACATGGACTGAGAGGTGGAGTTTTCTTAGCTGTTGCCATCTGGCCAAAACTGATCAGAGACACTTGACCTCTGCCTACTTTTATAAGAATTTCCCCAAATATTAGTCAGTGAAACACAGTATCAAAAGCAACAGATAGCCTATGTAGATGAACAGACTAACCACTGGCCTCTGTTGCCAGTGGTTTCTCTTTCTTATATAATATATATTTTATTTATTATTTTTATTTTATGTGTATAAGTATATTGCCTGCATGTATGTAAGTGCACCCGTGTCATGCAATGCCTGCAGAGATTAAAAAAAAAAAAAGGTCCCAGATTCCCTGGAACAGGAGTTACACAGATGGTTGTTAGCCACCATGTGGATGCTGGGATTCGAACCCAGGTCCTCTGCAAGAGCAGCCAGTGCTCTTAATCACTGAGTCATCTCTCCAGCCCCAGTTTCTTTTCTTTTCTCTTCTTTTCTTTTCTCTTCTTTTCTTTTCTTTTCTTTTCTTTTCTTTTCAAGACAAGATTTCCCTGTAGCCCCAGCTGCCCTGTAACTCACTATGTAAACCAGGTAAGCCTCAGTCTCACAAAAATCCACCAGCCCCTGCCTCTCGAGTGCTGGGACTAATGGCATGTGTCACCATGCCCAACTTCAGTGGGTTTTTTGTTTAATTAATTCGGTTTTACTTTTTGTGTATGAGTATCTTACC